AGATCCTGTCTCTAGGGCAGGGGCTGACATGGGAGTGACGCCGGATTGTCCTCCTTCAGAGGATTCGGATGATGTATCCGTCAAGAACTCTGAACTAGAGAGCGCCATGAATCATCGGCGCCGAGGGGCCGCTCTTCGCAATCCTGGCTTTACAAAAGAGGCATTCAATGCCTTTAGCTCGGTCGATGTATACATCCGAGCTGCTTGGGATGGGCTTGCCAGAGCCACGGACCAGCATTTAAAAGATATGCGAGTAAGTACACATTGTACGTATTTGGTAATCATATACCAGTAGCCCCCGAGACTTCAAGCAGTTGATACAACTGATTTAAGGATCATTATAAAATCAGGCACTCATGAAGAAGAATAGCCTGCTGTCTCAAGAGCTGGAAAAGTGTCAGACCCGGCTAGCTGCGGTTACCGCCGAACTGGAGAAATCCAAGAAGGCCATGCCTGGTAATATTTCCCTCCATCCAGAAAAATGTAATCATATACCAGTAATGTTAATACTGTTGCGTCTCTGGTGACAAGATCAGCATATCAACTGAAAGGGGAACTGAAAGTCACGCAGGTGGGCGAACAAGAGGCTAAAAGGCAACTGGCCGCAGGCGAACGTGTGCTGACACGGGTAAGGGATGAAAAGAACAAGCTGCAGGATTCCAATACCTTGCTGGGCGAAGAACTAAAAGATTTGCGAGCCCAGCTAGCTGACGCCGTCAAGGAGAATAGGAGGCTACGAGGCGACATATTTATTATGTTTTTGAACTTACCTTTATTAAATTCCGTGAAGAAATGATCTAACAGATTTATGTCTGCAGGTATGCTGACTGACCGTCCCGAAGAGGAAATGTCCGGCTCTCAAGGCGACCTGCTGCAAAGAGTTGTTCCAACTGCACGAGAAAGCTCAGCAAGCAATGCGGAGCGTTGCCAAAGCTTTGTGGCGATCCGCCTCTCCTCCAGGAAGTATGGAAGAGCTTGTGAAGCTATTCCAAGGAGCTCGGCGGCGCTTCTGATTATGGAAGATATCGGCCTGCCGAGAAGATGCGCGAGAGGACTGGGCCATGGTAAAAGCACGGTACACCAAGCTTGATCCGAATCATATAGCACTAGCGCTGGAAGGGAAAGCGCTACTGGTAAGTAGGTATAGCAGTAACGCGTGTCAAAGCGCTCTATTGATAAACGTTATATGTAGTGCCGTATCAGTAGCGCGGTGCCCCACGCTACTGATAGCCCTTCGACCTGTGCTACAGCTAGGCTTTTCCCTAGTAGTGTAGACTTGGAGCAGAGTGAGGGCGGATTTAAATAAAGATTAAGTAGAATAGCGACTTGTAACTAAATAGCATAAAAGTAAATGAAAGACAAGAATAATAAAGGACAGTGAAAGAAAAGAATTAAAAAGGCGTATTCAGGGAGTCTGAAATCCCCATTTGTATTTTTCTAGTACTACCAGGAATACACATAGCATGGAACGGATATACTTGAGCCATTGTTGACGATTATGCTATGTGGAGCCTTGTACAGACCAACTTCTACTCGTGGTAGACTTTGTGCCACGCACGCCACCATCATAGTTGACCCCAGAGGGTTATAACTCATGACAATTAATGATTTACCCCATGGACGCGGGCTCACTAAGGTTTCTTCATGATCCCCGGCCACTTGTAAAAGGTTAGGAGGTGTAGGCTTCTACTATCAGGAAAATATCTGGTGCACCGGAGCTTATGATGCTACCGGTGCACCGAGCTCATATTGTACTTTTAAAATGTTCAAAAAATTCTGGAAAAAAATTAGCACACTCACACGACATGAAAGTATGTTGTCACAAAATTTCAACTCAAAATTCAAAACATAACTCAAAAAACAAAAATGAAAAATTCAACACTGAATAGTGCACAACATAACTTGGGCTTTAGATTTGGCCCATTATCACATTGATGTCAAATTTGTCATTTTTGTATCTCAAAAAATATTTCAAATTTGTATAAAAAAATTGTGACATCATAGATTGATGGTGTGTCAACATGCTAGATTTTTTCCAGATTTTTTAAAACATTCTATGACATCCGGTGCACCGGTAGCACCACAAGTGCGGGTGCACCGGATACATTCCCTTCTACTATCACCTCGAATTACCTGCACATCCTAAACCTATGCAAAGATAGTGATATACTTTTTGGCCAATAAAGCCAGAAATGCAAAGTTGGGCCCCTTCACAACATTCACGAAGTCATTAAACTAAGCATTCAACAGTGGATCTCATATCCATATTAAACGTACCAGGTTCTACAGATACCAAGGTTCATCCATATCGCCGAGAACTAGGGTCTACTCACACATAAGAACAACAATCATCAAAGTGATGGTAACGGGATACGTGGGTGAATGATTCAACCGATACACCAAATGATCCACTAGGGTTATTGATGTTGCAAATGATAAGGATGTGGATGATAATGAGGATGATGATGATGATGATGATGAAGATGGTGGTGATGCAGATGTTGATGATATTGCCGCTCCTCCCGCGGTGAGAGGAATCCCCTTATTCTCCTGGTCGGTCCTCTCTTTGTATGGGCCCCTGAGGCTAGGATTCTGCCTTCTGGATGAGTTTCTGCAATCTTTGTTCGTCCCCTCCATGATCTGCTTCAACGACATGAAAATACACGATCGCCGAGAGGCGCCAACGCGCCAAACAACCGCTCATGTGAGCGCGTGCGATCGCATGGAACATCGTCCTTCGCTCTAGGAGCGTGACGATGGTTGTTTCTTTGGCCTTCTTGGTTGATTTTTTATGGAAAGTGTTTATCACCTTAAATACATGATTCCACTGCCTTTTTAGATGGTTTTCTACATTAAATGAATATTGATCCAGAAGACGTTACCTTAATGATTATCGACAAAAAGAAGTGCGCGAACGTAAATTGGACTCATCATGGAGCAGCGTCCCATGTCATGCATCGACGATGTGGAGTCTCTGCAGCATGGCGCAACAGGGTCTCAGCAACAGATGTATGATGATGGACACGTGCAAGGAGGTGGCGTTGTCTGACGCCGTGGTGGCGTCAATGGCGGACTTGACAAGGTCGATGCGTCAGTACCTGCTCTGAAGATGGATCGGTGGAAGACGACGGCGGCGGCCTCTGAGAGTGCGCCGGACCGGTGTGTGCACCAGAACCGTCAAGAGGCTTGGCTGGAGCATCCAGCTTTAGATGTTAGGTTTTGGCGTGATATTCGGCTCGGACTTTTGTCACCAAAATTCATCAAGTGGTGAGGAGTTGCGACACATGTTACCATGATGGTGGCTTCAAACTTACTGATGTATTGCTTTATACGGACTTTGTGAATAATTAATAAAATGGCTGCATGCGTCGCGCAGATGATGAGGCCGGGGGTCATACTCCTTTTAGAGCCCTTGATTCTTTACAATCCTCACATACTCATTGCACGTTCATTGGCCCTCGTTGAATATTCTTACACCTGACAGGAGTGTTACAAAGGTTTTGGACAAGTTGCAACTTGCAATTACTATATTTTTCGTTTTTGGAGAAAACAGCAACTACTATATGCATGTAACAGAACACGAGGTTGGAATACGAATCAACATACTTGGTTGAGATCCGACAAGGCGTGGTGGAGCGACCAATAAGTTATTCTGGAAAAAATATGATATTGGTGGGCAGTACGGTAAGTGATGCTGCTAGAGTTAAAGAGTTGTTGTGCAGTGTGGTCACATGATCAAGTGGCAATGTTCACATCGCGCTGATCAAACCGGAAAAGGGATCAAAATGCCGTGGTACACTTTATGTGATACATGTTAGCTTCAGCTAGCTTTACAACATAATAGGCGAGAGAAAGATGGGGTTTCCTTGCTTATACAGTGGACTATTATAGAAACTTTTAGACTTAATTACTGCTGTTTATGCTCAGTTTAATTCGGTTTGGAGATTGTATATGACTAGGTCTACACCTTCAATAAATTATAGTCGGTCTGTAAACTTGAATTCGTATCATTCTCTCGCGCACTTCATTCATATAGCCATAGCGACTCGAACATGAGGCATGTCAGCCTAGTTTGTTTATCAATCTGAATATTATATTCTCTGGGCCAGCCCACCCTGTTCACATTCCTCTATTTAAGAGCTGCTAGATGATATCATCTTCCATTCTGCAGGTGTTCTCTCCAGGTATGTTCAAAGTTCCACTTCGCTTCTTGCTTCGTAATTTCTTCTACATTTAGTTCAGAAGAGATATGACATGCATGGAAAGAGCTGGCCGGTATTATGTAAAGTACTCTTCACTGTAATCTACATGATGTGTTAGATACTGGTCTAGTCTTTACTAGTATATTTTTTTTCACTACTGTTATTTATTGCCTAGACATGTTTAGCATAAGTTTCAGAACAATAATGTCATGAAAATATTGTAAATACTTAAGAAGATGGTTTACGTTCATACCATATGACAGTTGATAGTAGCACTGCACCAAGCATCTGTATGTTTAGTTTTTTAGGTAAAATTAATCGGCCCTAACAAGAATTATGTCGTTTGATGGCTTATTGTCTATTTAAAACGGAGACAAATATTGTTTCTAATTCCGTAATAAAGAAAGAGGATTACGTGTCCTTAGGACCGGTTCTAAGAGTATATATACAGTTCAAATACAGAGCCCTCTATTTAAGAGCTGGCAAATCTTGAGTAAGTTCTTGTGCCAACTAGAACAGTGTAGTTCCGTTTACTCACTACTCTGCCTTGCCGTGGACCCAACCACTCATCCCGTCTTTGAATTTTGCCATGGAAGTAGGCCTAGTGCTTCAAGAAACATTTTCAGATATGCCAAAGAATTAAAGTTTTTATATGCTACTCCACTCCGTCCCATAATATAAGACATTTTTTTTACACTAGAGTAGTCTCAAAAAACATCTTACATTATGGGACAGAGGGAGTAGTATAAAATAAAGACAAAATATTTTGTGCAAATTTTATTAATATTATTACATCCAATGCAGTGCCCAGGGGTGAAAATGTCGTCGTTGGATGCACAACCTATCAACTTGCATATGTTAAAAACAATCACGGAGAATTTTTCAGAGAAAATGAAAATTGGTAGTGGTGGCTACGGAGCAGTTTACAAGGTAGGTATGGTTATTCATATTAAGTTTTTTGTAGTACCAGATGGATATTGGAACCTCGATCTAGCAACCAATCAAGCCTTGGCAATATGAACAGGGCATGCTTAATGGCGATGAAATTGCTGTCAAAAAGCTGTTCCCCGTCCCTGGACTTGATGATGAGGCATTCGATGATGAATTTCGTAACCTTAAAATGGTTCAGCATAAAAATGTCGTACGGATGATTGGTTACTGCTATGAGATAGCACATAAAGATGTTGAATACCAAGGAAAACTTGTTTGGTCTCAAGTTATAGATCGGGCTCTCTGCTTTGAATACATGAAGGGAGGCAGCCTTGGCAATCATATTTCCGGTAAACTAAATTTTAGCTTATTGTTGAAATGGTTCTAACATGTTATGTACACTAATTCAGCAATTTTCTCTCTTCATGCAGACAAGTCATGCGAATATGATTGGCCAACCACATACAAAATAATTAGAGGGACTTGTGAGGGCTTGCACTACCTTCATAAAGGGCGAGGAAACAGTAATTATATTTATCATCTGGACTTAAAACCAGATAACATATTGTTGGATGAAAAATTTGTACCCAAAATAGGAGACTTTGGTTTGTCGAAGCTCTTCGGTGAGTCAAAGACCCACGAAACAAGCAAGACAAAAGGAACAATGTAAGCTTCTACACGTATGGTTCATACATAGAGGCCATTTTGGTTGACAAATGCTCAGTACGCACATTGTGTAGCATAATATTGCACTAACTAATGTACTGTATTTGCTGCTTACGATGTTGTGCAGTGGGTTCATGCCACCAGAATATATAAATAATGCCAAGGTTACACCAAAGAATGACGTGTTTAGCCTCGGTGTTATAATTTTCTACATGTTGGTGGGAAAACAGGGCTATGGCGATTACTGTGACGTGCTTCTTCACCCGAATTTTTCAGCAAAATCTCGCCAAGAGTTTATCGACAGTGTATGAAAAAATGTGTCCTCTTTTCACACACAGTTATGCCTTACTCTTGTTTTTTTGTTCATGGTGTACATACCCATTAAAGATGTTTACATGTATATTGCAATTTTGCAGGTAAAAGAATACTGGAAGAACAAGATGCAAGAAACTTTGGGCTATAGGTGGGACCAAACAGATGTCATAGGAGTAACAAAATGTGTCGAAATTGCGATGAGCTCTGTGCACAGCGACTGAGACAGGAGGCCTTCTACCACAAAGATTATCAAGGATATGGAGAAGCTAGATTCTCAGATCCAAGAAATGCTACTGAAAGATCCAAAGCCACTTATAGGCATGGTGGCATTCGAAAAACTTATAGACCTGGTAATTAATATAACCCTTCATTATCAAGGCAATTACATATCTAGACCATATTTGCGTCGGCCTATCCTTGGATTTACTTTTTTTCTTTTGCAGGAAAACAGTGCCAATGATATGGAAGCGATCAGGAAAAAAAGAAGTCACAATGATTCAGGAATAGATATTGTGGTAGATCCGACCCTGGAGCTACGCTTCCCATTCGAGCCAAAGAAGGACGTATCATGCTGCCTGCAGCTCACCAACAAGGCCGACAGCTTCATTGCCTTTAACATAGACATGAACAGAAACAAGTACCGAGCACAGCCAAAAAGAGGTACTTTGCCACCATGTTCAAAGTGCTACATCACCATAACATTGCGAGCGCGGGAGAAGGCACCGCCGGGTATGAAGTGCGCTGATATGGCCATTGTGCAGGCCACAAGAGGGCCAGAAGGCTTCATATTATCAGATGAAATCAGTGAAGCCTTTCTCAAAAAAGCAAGCTCAGTGGACGAGGTCACGTTGCCGATTGTTTATGTTGCCTTGGAGATACCAGAATAGTCAAAAGGGAGAGCAACAATAATAATCGGTTTTTTAGCCTGCATCATGTTGTTATTTCTTCATCAGTTGTGTGGACTGCCCAATCGTTTACGCTTTATCTACCATTTAAATATATGCATTGTGATGGACAAGTAATGTTTTTACGTTGTTTTTATCATACTAAAATCATGGTTGGTATCTGGAATATTGGACATATATCCTCGATGCTTCTTCTTTCTGCCATATCTATTTTTCCGAGCTTACCGCTACTAATTACGGTACATTGCAATACATGAGAGTGTCGGTGTACGAAAGTACGGGCCTTTCAGTACCCCTCTACTTGTGCACGGGCAGTTGTAGCCACGACTACGGCCATGCTTGGCGGGGCAGAGGAAGCAAAGGTATAAGACTGCCAGGGCAGTGCTCAAGCCAGAGGAGTGAAGAGCAAAGGGGCAAGATGGATTTTCCCCGGCAAGAGCCTTGCCAGGGCGACCTACATAGCCCCGGCAAGAGCCTTGCCGGGGCAACTTGCCCATCACTAGCATGGCCGACACTCTTGAGCCTGAGAGTTCTGATACCATCGACAACATCAAGACCTAGACTCGGGGGCACCTGTGTGGTGGAATGCAGATCTTTGTGAGGAACAAAGGCCTGCGTATCTAGATAGGAACCAGAAGACGGAGGCCCCCAGCAAGAGCCTTGTCGGGGACAGGAGAAGATCCCAGGAAAGAGCCTTGCCGGGGATAGACGAAGACCCCCGGCAAGATCCTTGCCGGGGATGCCCGTGAGACCACAGCAAGACCCTTGCCGGGGGTTTCTGCGGGGGAGGCCAGGCCCGCACCCGCCAACGTTTCGCTGCCCCGCGGCCGTTCCGACGTGGCAATCAGCCCACCAACTAGGCAAACGCCTGAATGGCAGCATGCAACTTCTAGGCCAACTAGCGAAGCACCTACGTGGTAGCATGCAGATCTTCGTGAAGACTCTGTCACCGCACCAGCTCAGCAGCCAGCCAGCTAGCGTGGCGCTGCATGCTTCGTCACCTTGGACGCACGTCGAAGCAAGGCGAGGCGGCGACGGACGACACGAGCTTCTTTGTTGTCACCAATAAAGCAAGAGGGCACGTCGGCAGCGCATTAAATGTGTGTGTCCTACGGTGCCAGGTGATAGACTTGTACACTGTAGATACTTTCCACCTCCTGTGTGCCACTGCGGCGACCCCTTTGACATATAAAAGGAGGCCTGAGGCGTGCTGAGGAAGGATTCGGAGTATTTGGACTAGCCATGCACCGCAGCTAGTTCAAGAGCTCAAGAACACCAAATAAACACAGACAAACAGGACTAGGGTATTGCGCATCGTTTGCTGCCCGAACCTGAGTAAAAATGCCCTCGCGCTGATCTTTTAGACCCGCACTTTGCACAGCCCCACGCTCCGCCAACCGTAGAAGGGATTCCCAGGGGGATCCTATAGGTGTCGTTTCCCCCGACATATTTGGCGCGCCAGGTAGGGGGCGCTGAGGCTGTGAAAAGTCTGATCTAAGAGTTAGCGCATCGACTCCTTCATCGTCATGGTTCCCAAGAAGAAGGCGATCACATCGATCGGTTCTTCTGGAGCCGAACCGCCTATGCCAGCTCGGGCGGGCGACGGGGCGGTCGCGGATGGCGTCGAAGGCGCGGCCCGCGAGCATCCACGACTCTCTGGCAATCGGAGCCAGGCGAGCAGCGTCGTTTGTGCCCAAGATGACGAGCCGCACGCCGCTAGGTCATGGGGCGGCGCGGCTGAAGGAAATATGCCCTAGAGGCAATAATAAAGTTATTATTTATTTCCTTATATCATGATAAATGTTTATTATTCATGCTACAATTGTATTAACCAGAAACATAATACTTGTGTGAATACATAGGCAAACAAAGTGTCACTAGTATGCCTCTACTTGACTAGCTCGTTAATCAAAGATGGTTATGTTTCCTAACCATAGACATGAGTTGTCATTTTATTAACGCGATCACATCATTAGGAGAATGATGTGATTGACATGACCCATTCCATTAGCTTAGCACCGGATCGTTTAGTATGTTGCTATTGCTTTCTTCATGACTTATACATGTTCCTATAACTATGAGATTATGCAACTCCCGTTTACCGGAGGAACACTTTGTGTGCTACCAAACGTCACAACGTAACTGGGTGATTTTAAAGGAGCTCTACAGGTGTCTCCAAAGGTACATGTTGGGTTGGCATATTTCGAGATTAGGATTTGTCACTCCGATTGTCGGAGAGGTATCTCTGGGCCCTCTCGGTAATGCACATCACTTAAGCCTTGCAATCAATGCAACTAATGAGTTAGTTGTGAGATGATGTATTACGTAATGAG